GATGAGCAATTAGCAAGGGTCACAGGACTTGAGGAAGATGACCAGACACATTGTGTGTGAGAAGGTGCTGACCAGTGTCCACATGAGGCACCAATCAGCCCTCCAAGCTTGGCTCCCAGCCCCTTCTATCCACCTGTGGAAGCGCGACTCCCCTCCCTCCTTTCACGTTCCTACCCCTGGGGCTTGGCTGGGCCGTTTGCTTGCCTTGAATGCCGCCCTCCTGCTGTTCACCTATCATAAAACTCCCAGTTCTTTAAGCCCCAGATCAAAAGCCACTTTTCTCTTAAAGTCTTTCCATCATCCTCTTCCTGCCGCTTATTATTTCTTCCCATCTTGAACTCTCAGAGCGAACTGTTCGTGACCCTCCTTCCCTGTCTGCGTTACAATTGTGAACATGTCTTATTCCTCCAGTGGAGCTCATACACTCCTTTAGTTGGGGTCAGTCATATTGTATTCTTTCTTTCACTCAAAAAATATTCATTGAGTGCCTTCCATATCTCAGGGGTTCTGATCCCTTACGCTCTAATGGTGATAGACAAACAAAGGGACGAATACAATAGAGCTGATAAGTGCCCCCTTAGGTCAGGTGCAGGGGGCTGTGAAAGCACAAAGTCCAGCACTTAATCTAGTCTTGCAGGGGGAGGGAAAAGTTGTCAGGAAAGGCTTCCTGGAAGGAGTAACATCTGAGTGGAAAAGTGAAGGACAGGTGGGAATTTCCCAGACAGACAAAGCAGGGGAGGCTTTGGAAGGTGAGGCTGGCTTGCTGTCTAAGGGGCCAGATCACATGGGCCCTTCCTAAGCCCACGAAGGAGGAGAGACTTTCCTGAGAGCAAAGGAGAGCCCCTGATGATGTTCACTCCTCTGTGCCTCTTGCAGCACTTAGCACAGTGCCTAGAACATCCTAGATGCTTGAATGGAAGAGGCGATGGTCATAACATTTCCCAATGTCTTTTCGTGCTCTCAGGTTAAATTCCCTTGACTTGTGGGTCAGATACTCAACCTAGCTTCCCGACAGTGATAACAAAATTGAACTACTGGTTTAGCACCGCACAGCAAGGACAAGCGTGGCTGGCAATTCTCCTGATAACACAAACTGGTCTGGAATGCATTCATTCAAATAAGTGACACAGCCTGAGATCACATCTTGTGACTGGATCACCAGAGAATACCTGTCATTCAAGCCCTTCCCATCTTTAGCTCTGTCATCCAAAGAGGCCCTCAAGAGGCAGAAAACTTCTTTTGCAGGACCTCATTTCCCGGGTTGCCATCCTGCTCCCAGTGCCAGGAGGGGAAGGCAAAGGGGCTTGGGAGGGAGTGTGTGGGCAGGAGCCCTTTTCACACAACCCCCAGCTCTCAACAGGGAGCAAGACGGGTGCCGTGGAGAAGGGGCTCGTGCTGGGAAAGCAGGAGGAAGGGAGGGGACAGGAAGCGGTGCAGTTGGGGTCTGGAAGCCCACCAAGAAAGGCAAATCAGTTTTCAACAAGCCTGGCTTTCTGTGTTGCCAGCCCCCTCCTCTCCTCGTTAGGAAGCGGGAAGCGCGTACCACTAATCCAGCGCTATGCGCACTTCCTGTGCACACTGGGTCCTGGAGTCAGGCCGCAATGACTCACTGCTGACCATAACGAGGCCTCCAGGCCCCATGCGCTGACTTAGAACATTTACAGAATTGCTCCTGTGTTGAGACATTCACTTCTTTTCAACCAGCCACTTCACCCCCCTCCCCCAGTGAACTATTCATTCCTTGACTGGACACACCCTTCTTTCCTCACAGAACACCCCTTCCAGGAGCACCTGCTCCCGGGCCAGGTAAAACCCTCCCCAGGTATTCTCTTTCCTCAGGCCCACACAATCCACTTTAGGGAGCCTTCCCACATGCCAGGCACCACACCCACCTCATTTAATCCTTACACTGCCTTTCGAGGGAGGGACGAGTTCCACTCCTACTTTGCATAGGAGAAAACCAGTGAGGAGGCTAAGCCTGATTATTTATCATTATCCCACACTGTCCTTCCCCGCAGCAATGATGCCCCACTCCCCGCCACAGGCTGGGGCTGCAGGTCTGGCCTCACCTGTGCTTTAGGCCGCTGGGCTCCTGCGGCCTCCAAGCACACCTCTACTGCTGTGTCCGCCAGTCTCACTGAAACATAAGGCTCCTCAAGGGCAGAGATGAGATAACCCCTGTATCCTGCCCAGAGGCTGGTGTCTACAGGCCTTGAATCAATTATTTGTTGAGTGAGTAAATGACACTTTAAAGGGAAACTGGGATTGCAGGTCTGAGGATGAAGCATAGTCTATCATGGGCATTGTGCACAGTAGATAATAAATGATTTGGAGGCATCTTCAAGAATTCTATCTGGTTCGAAAAACATTCTAGAATGTTCTCAGTTCCAGAAGCAGCTCTCCATCACCCAAAGCGGATAGCTTCCATTTGTAAAGTGGTGACATGTTCCGTTCCCAGCCCCTGTGCTGCTTTACATGCACTTTACATGCATCACTTCGTGGAATCCTCTCAACCAGACTCTGAGGTAGGTGTCAATCTCCATTTTATGGATGAGGAAACTGAAGCTCAGAGAAGGGAAGTAACTCACTCCCAAGTCCCTGGACGGTAGAGGTGAGCAGGCATTCAAACCTGGCTGCTTTAGAGAAGCTGCCAAAATCTTTGACTTCTGGGGTAGTAAACAACGTAGCCAAAATTAGAACCGTGATCTAACTGCTAAGTTCATCTCCGCCTGCCCCCAAATTTTCAGCCCTCAAAACATCCTAGGGCCGCCCTGGTCCAAACCCCCAAATCCTGATAGCTGACCCGGAGAGAAAATGGGACAGTCACCTAAAAACCTGGCCTGCCTTTCAAGGAGCCCAGCACTGGGCCACTCCCCCCAGAACCAAAACGCATTTGCTCTTCAGTGAACAAGTCAGCTCCCACACAAACACGAGACAGGACGAAGACCTGACAGGGCTGAGAGCTGGCAGGCAGAGCACCGTGGGTTACGGAAACGAAGCGTGTCGCACACAAAACCAAATCACACGGAGCCAAACCAAAGCCTGGTGTTCTCAGCCGTGTTGGGGCAGACCAAGCATCATCCCCCAGGCACGACGGGGCCGGGAGGAAGGCCTTCCTTCTCGTGGGCTCTTGCACCAGCCCAGGAGGTACCCAACGTGGGGGTCACTTCTGAATCACCTTGAGAGGCCAGAATACAGACTGTCCTTTGCCTCCACTGTCCCAGCCCTGACACCTTAATGGACGACCGCCCCATTCCCTCCTGGGTCATAATTTTGTTCCCAAGAAAGCAAACAGCTCTCACGGGCGTCCACGCGGCCAGGGGTGAGCCCACCCTGCTGGCCAAGACACCCGGGCACACACGGTCATGCTGCAGGCCTACCTCGCTCGCAGCAGTCCGAGCGGCCTTCCTCTCGGCCGGCTCGCCACCTCTCTGCAGCTCTGAGGGCTCAGCCTCCCTTCCCGGGAAAGGGCTACCCCGGGGCTTGCGGGGCCGGCTCTCCTCTGAGGTGTGGAGCTCTGTGGGTCTCTGTTCGGTGCTCAGACACCTGACCACGTCTGACGGTCTCAGGCAGCTCTTCTTAGAGATGGCGGGTCCACCCAGGCATCTCTCACCTGCCTCCCTGTCTGCTTTCCTCTCACGTGCTCCACTTCCTTCTCGCCACGGCTGCCGCTCACCCTGGCTGCTAAAGGCGTCGCTAAGCTCCGAGATGACCCTGTCCGAATGCCCAAGCCTCAGCTGGGAGAAGCTATCCTTGAGGACCCCTGGAGGTGGCACGTGGGTACCACCATCTCCGCTGGCGTGGAGAGAGGTCTGGGAACCGGGCGCCAGGGAGCAGGCTTTCTGCGGGGGAGGCAGGGCCAGTGGGGAGACTGCTGAGCGTGGGGTGGCCCGGGCCGACCAGCCTGAACGGGGGAGGCTGAGGATAAGGGAGGAGCTGGGCCTCGCCCACAAGGCCAGGGGTTCAGGGCTATAGACAGAAGCCTCTGGCAGAGGAGGCAAGGGTGGGGTCAGGGCCAGAGGCCGCCTGCTCGGGACTCCTACGGTCAGCGAGATCCACTCAGAGGTGACAGCGTGCATCTCAGGGGACAGGGCTCGGTGGGCGTGGGGCAGAGATGAGGGGGCTGGCGTGATGAGCTTGCTGTGACCGGGAAACTTCAAAAGAAAAGGAGAGAGAGGAAAACAAAAGAAAGAAGCAAAAGGCACAAGTGTCAGCACAGAGAAGAAAGGAGGAAAATAATCACAAGGGATACATGGAGAGGAGTGAAATGGCGAGGAAGAGCAGGACACTCTGGTGTCCAAGAAGGAAATCATCTGGTTAGGCTGGGAGAGAAACTGAGATGTGGGTGCACGTGTGTGGATGCGCGGGTGTGTGCAGGCGGCGGGGAGGATGGAGAAGCACGCGGCCTGGAGGTGGGAGAAAGGGTCCCATCAGGGCAGGAACAGACGGTGCCGGCTGGTCTGCGGAATCAGACTTGTAAAGGGACACACTGGAAGCTCCCCACCTCACCCCACCCAACTGCCTCTGCCAATGCAGCCTTGACCCAGAGCCATGAGGAGAAAAAGGTGGCCTGGTTGAACCACTGTGCTGTACACCTGACACTAATATAACATTGTATGTCAACTAGAGTTCAATAAAAAAAGTTCAAAAAGGCCTGCCACTGTTCTGACCCTTCTTGGGCTTTTACTCTCTCTAGGGGGGCTCAGCAGAGAGCCTTCCAGAGAGGAGTATGAGTATCGTAGTCATCTTGTTTTATAGTTGTGCTTGGCTACAGTCAAGCGAAAAATCTAGTTGAGTTCCCCATGCTATGACGAAGCAGAATGCCCTGCGCCTGGCTCACACCCTCTTCTCAAGAGATCACAGGATCTGGATCTCACTGTGCAGGAAGCCCTGGGTCAGCCCATCTCATGTTTCCTGCCAAGAACCATCTCCTGGGGTCAGCAGTGGCAGGTGGGAGAGGAGGAAATGATTAGAAGATGAGAGAAAAGAGGCACCATCCAAGTGTCCCCCGGTCCTGCTCTCATTTCTCTGGCCATACTCCCTATAACTTACCACTTATGGTCAGTCTATTTCACAAGCAGTCACCCCACTGTGCCTCTCCTGAACCCAAGGTCTGATTTTTTTTTCTTGGCTTTGGGAAAGTGGGGATGGGTTTGGAATAATTTATACTTTAAAACAAGTTTGATCACAGTTAATGTTCAGGGAAGCAAAGATCTTATTATGCCTATAAATCTACTTCTTTTCAGCCCAGTATAGACAGAGACACTGTTAAGTTCCTTTTCCAACCCGGTCGTTGATTGCAAAGAATGCTCTGAATCCAGTCTATACGTCTGAGGATGAGCACACGAGATTCTCTCGTTCAGTCTTTGTCTTCTGCAGGCCAACCTTGACCAGTAAGATGACTAAGAGAACCATACTGGCCATGGTATGTACGGGACAGTGGTGGTATCCAGACAACCAGCTTCACCCAGGAAGGGATGCTCCCAGAACAGAGTTTTGGACCAACTGATAATGGCGCTTATTTCTCTCTCCCTAATCATCTTATCCCCAGAGCAATCACCTTAAGCACTTGCTTTTCCCCAAGATAATATTTCTCCCACCAAATTCTTGAAAAATGCCATTTGTACACATGAAAACAAACCCTGGTGTGTATACTCTGCACTGCTGCAGATGGTTCTTAATCACAGTGTTGCAGAACCACCCCAGAGGGGCTGTGTGCTATTAGCACTGAGGTTTGTCGTGCTGAGTGTGAAAACCAGTGGCGGGAAGCTTAGGTACCTGAGGGCTTGCAGTGGCACTACGACTTGGGGAGGAGGAGAAAGGCAGGTCGATGTAATCCACGGGGTTTTTCACCAACGGCCGTTTGATCACGTCCACATAGGTGATGGGGAAGATGCCTTGCCGGGACGTCCCTGGGATCCTCCCTTCGTACCAGTTCTCGTCCACCTGTCGAAGCAGCATGATCCTCTCGCCCTGCAAGACACAGAAGGGCAAGGGTCCTTGTCCTAGCAGGCCTTGGCACGTCTGAGGCCCCTGCCTGTACCTTGTGCTCTCCTGCATTATTTATTACATTCTTTGTTCAGAAAAACCTTCTTTGCTAGACCTGGATGGAATTAGTTATCACTGGGATGGAGATGTTAACAGCAGTAGAGATACCTGGAGGCTGTTAAGCTTGGTCTTTACATATTTTGGTAAAGGAGAGGGTCAGACTCATTCTCTCAAGCTAACAGGCAAACGTAGTATTTTTGGCTCATCTCATGCAAAATAGACAGATATCCAATCTTCTCTAAGGTAAAGGTTTTGGGGGTTCTTTTTCTTATGTAATTTTATTTTTTCCTGTATTATTACAGAAAAATTAAGACATAAACATGAGGCAGAAAATAATCATTACCATAATATTATCACTTGGGGGTAACCACTGTTCATATTTTGGTATAGATAATTCCATGTGAATTAGACTTGCACATACCTTTTTCTTATGAAAACTGAATATGCACTCTATTCCCCTTTCCAACTTGCTTTTTTACACTCAATAACATACAGTGAACCTCCTTCTTTATCAAGAAATATAATTCTACATTTTTCCTGGCGGTGCACAGCTTAATGGCCCACTGCAGGATGTTCTATTGTACATACATATAATGGTTTAATTATTGGTCTCCTGATGTAGGGCGATTAGGCTGCTTCCAGTGTTTCTTTTTTCTATAAGCTGGCTCATTTTTTCCCAAGGCATAAGCTCACTTCCCTCAATCCTCAGTAAAATTAGTAACTTGAATACCTTCAGCCAGTTGAGAATTTTGGCATGTAAAGAGAGCGTCTGAATTCGTGGGAAGGACAGTGTCTCTGCACAGCTTAACTGTGTTCAAAATAAGCATGAGCGCCTTGAAGGCAATGATAACACTGTCATCTCCTGCTCAGTGGGCCCCAACTAGATGCCACGTGTCACACTGGGGGCTTCACTGAGGCTGTTTCATTAAATCCTCTCACAGCAGCTCTGGAAGAGGGCCATTTATCTTCATTTTACATATGAAAAATCACAGCTCTGAACAATTATTTAACTCCCCCAAAGCCACACAGCTGATAACCTATGACTCTTGGCTTCAAAGTTTCTCAAACTTCTCCTGGACTTCGTTTTCTCCACATTAATGTTGTACCACCTAGTTACCAACACAGCATTTCTCACATTACTAGGTGCTCGATAAACACTGAACACGGTTTACAAAAGAGGTAGGCCTGTGAGAATTCATGGACCGTTCATTAGTGAACTCAATGTAGGGTTTGTTTTTTTAATACTTCATGGCAGAAATCCTCCAACTGCCCTCCGTGCAACCCTTGATTTGGGGGCACGACAGCCTCACCACAGTGGCCACCGCTGCAGTGCCCCATCCCCACGATGACAGCGCCACCCAGCGGGGCCCCCTGGCGTGGGATGAGAGGGCAGCTTACCTTTCTGAAGGACATCTCTACTTGCGTATCACCATTAAAGTTAAACTTGGCGATAGCTTCGCCGTGTTCCAGAACCTGCACTGGTGCCAGCTTTTTGGGCTGAGCCTTCTCAGCAGGAGGAAGAAGCTGAGAAATGAAAGGAGGAAACAGAGCACAAGTTAAATGAATTGTGCTTTGGGCACGACCAGGCTTTTCCTTAGAAAGAGAAAGAGCCAGGGTACCTCAATGTAGGTGCAGGGGAAGATTCCCACCCGGCCGTGGTGCTCTCCTTCATACCAGTTCTGATCGATCTGCTTATAAATGTACACGACGTCTCCCTTCTGCAGAGGAAGCTCCCTGTGGACAGAGGGTCACAGCATCTTATCAGATGTCCCAATGTGTGTACGATTAAGATGCTCCTTGTTTTAGCAAAAGGAGACTTCGAGTGAGGTCCAAGGGGACAAGTTACAGAAGATGCGGCTCCATATGTGGATGCGAGAACCCCACTATTCAGGAAACTGCAGCACATTCGGCATTTTTCCAGTCTTGTGGGATGAAGGTTAACTTTCCAACTGACAACCACTTGAAAGTGCTCAGACACCTTATTAGTTTGTTGTGGTTTCCCCAATGTATTTTTTGTCAATGCTGTCTTATGCTCAGAATATTTGTGCAACACACAGTGATGCACCCAGCAGTCTTAGCTGCTGTTCATTAATGAAAAATGTTTCCTTCTAGATACTTTCACTACCCTCTTCTATGCCCTAGAAATGCATGCCTTCACTACCCATGACATTTAAATTCCCCTCAAATTGTTTGTGAAATACTGATATCCTTTTATCATTCTATCCGTTTAGCCATCCATCCACCACTCATTTCATTACCCATTCATCCATCCATCTATCCATCATCAGGCAGTAGAAACGCTCTGATATTAGGCAGATCTGGGTTCAAAACCCAGTTATACCATTTACCAGCTCTGGTACCTTGGACAAGATATTTAATCTCTCTGAGATACTTTCTTTATCTGAAAACAGGAGCTAACTCAGAGTTGGTGGAGAATTCAGCAACAAACTACAAATAAAACACCTAGCACGGTGCCTGTTACATAGTTAACACTCAGTAATTGTTAATTCACTTTCTTTTCAACATGGAAAAGGGATTTTGGACAGAAAAGTGGATTTTCCTTCAAATGTTCTTCCTGCCCCTTTTCAACTTTTCCATATACATCCCTTTGTTTGCCTCAATAATATGTTAACCGCTAACCAGGACTCCATTTTAAAAACAGAGAGAGAAAGATAAATTTTAAGCAACACAAAAACTGTACCTTGAAATTTTCTTGCATTAAAAAAAAAAAAAACGGGGCTTCCCTGGTGGCACAGTGGTTAAGAATCTGCCTGCCAATGCAGAGGACACAGGTTTGAGCCCTGGTCCAGGAAGATCCCACATGCCATGGAGCAACTAAGTCCGTGCGTCATAACTACTGAGCCTGCACTCTAGAACCCGCAAGCCACAACTACTGAGCCCGAGTGCCACAGCTACTGAAGCCTGCACGCCTAGAGCCCGTGCTCCACAACAAGAGAAGCCAGTGCAAGGAGAAGCCCGCACACCGCAACGAAGAGTAGCCCCCGCTCGCCGCAACTAGAGGAAGCCCGTGCGCAGCAACGAAGACCCAACGCAGCCAAAAAAAAAAGAAAAAGTGACCTAGATCTTTTCCATTTGCCTCAAACCAACAGCATGGAAAGACAGGACTCTGACTGCAATTTGGACGGGGTGTGCCTGGTTTGCAGTGTGCCAGGAAGTCCCACGGTGCGTGAAGGATGCTGGCTAAACAAAGGGGCACATCTGGAAAACCTCACACAAAGTCAGCACTGTGCTGGATGAGAGAACAAGGCAGCCTGTGTGGGTCTTGCACTGGTAGGCAGGATTCTAACCCTAAAGAGGCCTGTGAAGGGGATCCGGGGCATTTGTCTCTGGAAGAAAGAAGGTCTTTGGCCAAATTCTTGCCATGAGCCCTCCCTGGGGGAGTTCTGAATCCTCCCCTCCATTTACTCCCAACTATGGGCACACAGATGAGCAGAACCCTCAGAATATCCACCCCTGCTGGAGATCTGCAGGCTCCAAACTCTGCCACCCTAAGTGACTCGCAGGTCACTTAGGCACATGGCAAGGTCTGGTAGTAACAAGGTTTGGGAAACAATAATATGACGTACTTTAGATCTTTTCTGGAGTGTCACCACGTACATTAGCACAGTGGAAGCTTGGAGAAAGTCCTGTGGGACAGAAACCTGTTTAACTTGGTTGAAACGAGCGCTCCCACAGAACACTTTTTTGAGTAACATACTATGGAGAAGAGCAGAACCCAGTGACTGGAGATGTTAAAAATATTCAAGTCTATGGATCTTTTGTTTTCTCTTTAAAAAGTATTATTAACTTTTCTTGGGAGGCAACGTGGTACAATGAAAGCACTGGGTCAGGAGGAAGGAGCCCTGTCCCAGCAATGAGCAACGTTGGTAAATGGTGATGAGTTCTGTCTATCTTAGCCTTCTCACCTGTTCTATTTGTGAGGATTTTTAAATGAAATCTAGCTAAATGTAATATCACAATACCGTTCAATGATTACATGGAACTTTCTCAATTCAAAGAAAAAAGAGGAAAAGGTACTTCTTGATTAAACTAAAAAATTAATTTACATAACTATTTTTTTTTTTTTTTTTAATAACCAGAGGTCTCTGGTTTAAAAAAAGGAGGGGGACCCTTTTGCTTGCCTATGCAAAATATCTTACAAGTGTTACCTTGGCTGCCCTGCAAGCGAGGCATTTTTTTTTTTTTAATAACCAGAGGTCTCTGGTTTAAAAAAAGGAGGGGGACACTTTTGCTGCACTATGCAACATATCTTACAAGTGTTACCTTGGCTGCCCTGCAAGAGAGGCATTTTTTTTTTTTTAAGAGAGGCATTTTTATGCCCATTTTATAGATGAGGAAATTTGAGGTGGAGAGGTTGGTGATTTGCCCTTGATCAGAGGCAATAAGTGGCACAGTCGGGATTCAAACCCAGGACTTCCTGACTCTAGAGCCCATAATCAACCCAGCACAATATGCCACTTCCCCTCATCAGGTGACAAGTTAAAGCACTGGAGTAATTACAAGCAAAGCCAAATACACCAGATTTGTGCCTAGGTTCTGGAAACAGTAGGCTAGTCACTCAGTTTGTGTTGGAGGAGACTGGAACCACAGCTGAGCAGCCTCCACACAGCATTTCCCAGCGTCCAAGGATGGAGGGCTTTCCTTCCCCTTTCATCACCAGGACAGCAGGATGGCTGCTGTTCACTGCTGCCAATGAAAACTCACAGCCCATTTTAATCCATAATTAGATATGAAGTGAGCAAGTTCCTCTAGGAACCCAGTCATTTCTCAAATTTCATTCTATGGGAAAATGGTCATCTAAATGGTTTTCTGGTCATCTAAATTTAGGTAACATTGGCTAAATCAGCTAATTAGGTTTCTTTATTGAAAAACTTCTGGAGAGCCGTTAACATGTCAATAGCAAAGTCTCTCTTCAAGGAGGGGCAGGAGGTACAGACATAGGATGCAGTGGTTCCCAGACTCACTTCTATGATGGAACACTATTTGAGAAATATTTACAGAGCCAGCACTCTGAGGAACATACTTAGAGAAATGCTGGTCTCCTGTGGGTTCACATAAGCCTTTAATCTCTCGGGATGTTGCAGCAAAACTGGCAAAGTTATCTTCCTAGAGACTGGTTCTGGTTCCTTCTGTAGAGAAAGTCGGATCAAGCCACCACTTAATGAAGCAAACTGAGTCCCTACATAGGAGGCAGCAGAGCAGCACAGAGGTGAGAGCCCAGGCTCTGGCACCAGGCTACCTGGATTTGAATCCCGACTCCATCACTGACCAGCTTGGGCAAGTTCCTTAACCTTGCAGAACCTTGGTTTCCCCATTACTACAAGGGAAATAACAATAGCACCAACCCCACAGGGTTCCAATGAGGGATGAATGAGTTAACATACGTAAAGTACTTTGAATGGTGCTTGCACATAGTACAATCTAAAAACTACTGTTTCTTATTGTTGTTATTTTCTCCCACTCTTCTCTATGAGTGCACTTCTGTGTTTCAAAGAGGCAGTTAAAATAAATGAATATGACCGGTGGCACTTACTTTAGTGTCTGAGCTTTAAAGTCAAACTTGGCTCTGGCAGGTCTCATCTAAACACAGGAAACAATGACAAGTTAAAATCACAATTTATGTATAATGCAAAGGACACACAAGTTTCCGGAAAGCAAAGCAGAAAAATCCACCCTAACCAGTTTACTCTGGTGTCAAAATCTGGGCAGAAATCTACTTGTCTGACCTTAGCAGGGCACTACATGGGCGTTCAATCAGCTATGCCACGCGTGAGGATCTCCCTACGGAGGGGCAGATGTGGGGAAGAGACGGTTAGAAAAGTCCTAAAGTTGAAATGCTGGTCCCCAAGGCTGACACCACTATTTAAAAAACAAACAAACGAACAAAACCCAGCCAGAAGTCCTGAGACATTCCTTATCTACTGTCCTAGTCTTTGGGGAACATGTTCTCTTTGCCTGACTTAAACTATGACCTGCAAGTAAATGAACCCTGAATGACTTCTTACATCACCTCCAACTCCACATATTTCTCCAGGTCTGTGAAATCATCCAAAAAAGCCAGATAAAGTGAGCCCTGAGCTCATGCTCTTCCTTCAAGGCTTCCATTCTTGTTAGGTAGCCCTCTCCTCCTAGACCCCCCCAAGCCTGGAAGTCACCCACAGCCCCCATCTCCACTTTCTCATCGAGCCTGTCATTAAGTCACGCCAACCCTCCCTCCGTCCCTTCCACAACCCCACTCAGGTCTGACCTCTATTTCCCACAGGCACAGAGCTTCCTTTGACTTCAGTTCTCTTCACTCTAATCTACTCTCACTCAGGAGCACAAATAACATTCCTCAAATACCTCCATCACATCTCTTCCTTGCTTTGAAGTTGGCCCAGTCTCTCAACTGTGCCTCAGATCAACTCTCAATTCCTGAGGTGGGTTAAGGCCTTTGGGTCATTTCTCCCCACTCATACCTAATCGCCTTTATCTCCTATGACACTTTTCCTGTCCCAGTCAGGCAAATCTACTTGCTGCACCTTGTCTAGACACTCCTTCCCTGTCTGGAATTTCTTCATCTCCAATTCCAACAAAGAGAGCAAAAGGTTCCCTTTTACTTACCATGTTTATTTGTACATCTTTCTTCCCCACCATTAAAAGTGGGGAATTTTTTTAAAAAAAGGAAGAGAGAGAGGGGAGAAATCATGAGAGCAAGCAGTTTACGGTTGCCAGTATAATGCTGCCCCAGCCATGAGCAGCTCCAACCTTTTCAACTGCTATAACTTTCTGGTATAGGGAAACAATGTGATGAAAATTAAATTACATACTTCCTCTTCAATATTAGAAGGCATGGACAAAGCAGAGAGGAAAAATGGGAGACTCTATGTGAAGAAAAAAAATGGTTCTTAGAAGCTTCATCAAGCTTAGTTTTAGATCCTGATCCCTTAGTGAAATGCCCCATATTTCCAGGTTCCTCAAGCTGGGGTTTTATAGGGATCTTCTTTAAGGCCATGAATTCTCCACAGGAATTTTTTTTAATTTTGCATTTTCATGTGATGTTTCCATCTATCTACCATACATATTAGAAATCAACTGAATGACGACCTTATAATCAATGTCACAGATTTCAATGCCTGCCTGTGACCAAAGATCATAATTCAATGGCTGTAAGCAAATAAGAAAAGAACAAATGTGGAGTTAATGATAAACGACAAGTTCACAAGAGAAGGCCAAATGACCAACGTTTTAAGCACAAAAATTTCAGTGATTCCAATTTTAAAAAGTGGGGGGGGGTGGTGAGGGGGCTGGTTGACAGCCAGCTGTCAAGCTGTATGAACGTTAAAAAAAATTTATACCAAAACAGCACGATATTCACACTGTGAGTGGCAACTGAGTTCAGGCAAAATTATATCAACCATCAATTAAATTAATAAAACCCAACCATTTGATGAATAGCCAGTGGTGTCTCTGTCACTCAAAAGATAGAGACATGAATATTAATCAGTTCTCAATTAAATTTATAATTATTAAATAAAAATTGTATAGGTGTACAGTTTACTATTTAATTTGTAAATTGGCTTAGGTCAGCCCAATCGGGTTGGTGAAAATTATTTTCATCAAAGGGAATCCATACATAATTCAAGAGTGAGAAACACTGATTCCACTGAACTCTTAAGACATATTATATGAGTCATATTGCCTATACAAAGCATCATCTCCTTCTTTATCTTCCTCCATCCTCCTGAGGCTGAATCGATCTTTTCCTCCTCTGGTTCCCAAGGCATTGTGTTACTTATTACAACAGAGGTAACAGTTCCAAGGGTGCCTCTTCCACTAGACTGCCAGCTTCCCAAGGGCACAGTCTGAATCTTGTTTCTATCCCCTCACGGGGTCCTGGGCAAATTAGTGGTCACCCAAATTCTACTGAAGGGTACCGAAGTACATCTACATAGCCTGGTGTACCTGGGACTCATTGGTCTTTATTGTCCCATGTCTGTCAGTCGACATCTAGGGCAGTGATTCTCAAAATGTGGTCCCTGAACTGCTCAGAAATGCAAATTCTCAGGCTCCGCCCCAGAACAAGAAACTTGGTGGATGGGGCCCAGCAACCTGTATTTTAACAAGCGTCTAGGGGATTGTGACACACTTAAGTTTGAGAACCTCTGCTCTAGAAGGGAGGCAAGGCAGGTTAGGCGGAGTTTGCCTGCCTCTGTCCATGGTTATTGTGCCCTGGTTGCATTTCATTTGCATGTATTATCTACACGTGGGGTAGGTAGCCCTAGGGTGCCTTTGCATGTTCCCGTCTTCTCCATCACTCACAACCAGGTAGGCCTGGGAATGAGGATAACCCATCACTGGAGCCTTCAGAACAGGGTGGTATTCAGGAGCTGGAATGCTGAGGGCTGGCGGTTGTCCTTCACTTGCATCTGAGTAACTCCTGCTAATTTCTGCCTCCCCCTTATTACATTTTATTTTTCTCTATCACCTTAGAGTCTCTTTCCCCTCCCCAGCTTTCCTTCTTCTAGTCTGGTTCCCCCTTTTCTCTCTTTGTTACAGTCACCTTCTATTTCTTTAAAAAAGAAAACAAAACCCAAACCATTTGATGAACAGCCAGTGGTGCCTCTGTCACTCAAAAGATAGAGACATGAGTATTTAATTGGCTATTACACTGAACGATTATGCAACTGTATATACTTTGGTGTCACTGCCCCATTTCCCCAATCCTCCCCAAGCCCCAGGCACACAGGCTTCCCTGAAAGGAGCTAATCTTCAGCAGGGCTACTTAAGGATCACGTGGCAAAACAAACGCTGATGCAAGCTGCGGTATTTGACCAGCACAAGAATTTCAATATGTTGACCTTCACGCAGGAGGCCAAGGCCTGGATAAAATCACTTCAAAGACTTGTACTTCTTTGTTCCTTGTATAATATTAGGTTTCATAATTTCGGCTGAGAAATGTCAAAATTAAGGCAACAAAGGAAATCTCTCTCAGAGAGCTCTTACCCTCCACGGCTACTCTAACTGCAAAAACGGTTTGGCTTTCAAAATTCCTCAGTGAGGCTTCAGCTCTACTGAACACTTCAATTAAATCGTCGTAGGATACCAAGTGGCAGTACTGCATGTAATACAAGTTTCACTAAACCATCTCTTCAAAGAAGAACCTTGTAATTGTCCACACCATAGCTACTAATGCATATGAACTAAGGTATAGGTTTCTAAGCAAAGTGCACAGGCAACACAGTCTCATGATAAAATGCAGATGGAGAAGACCAGACTCATGAAGGCAGCCGATGCTCTAAGGCATGCATTCAGGTTGTGCGCCAGCAGATCCCGGTCCCGCAGCCAGGCATGCTTGGACATACAGAGCACAGGACATAATGGGAATCATGTCCACCGACCAGCAAGAGAAGAGCCAAAGCAAGCCTAAGGGAAGCCAGGATGACAGATGCTGTCTGGAGAGGTAATTTGGCCTACAGAGGGCAATGCCGAGGGAAGGCAAATATTGCTTTGGGTCAAGCAGCAGATCGAGGTGACCAAAACAGACCTCTGACCCAGATTTCCTTTTTGCTGTATCGTCTATATTGAGGAGGTCCCCAAAGCGCTCATTAGTGATAAATTGATGGTGCGTCGGAATGACGCCCGTGTGGCGTCGAGCTGCAATATCGGCTTCTTCTTGCTCACGCTTAAGTCGTCTCTGGTCCGCTAAAAGTTTCTGCCATGAAATTGCATAAAATGGGCTGTGAATCATCTGGTCCAGGGTATTGGAAAACTGCCAACAAAAACAACTAAGGAAAAAGGTGCTGGGTCAATAGGGAGGAAACAGATGTTGGGGGGGCTTTATGGCCGCAACTGCAAGGTTCCCGCTGTACCCACCCACGTGCGCTCTGTGTAGGGAGGAGACAGCGCTGCGGGGAGAAACCGGGGGAGCACTGGGATGCGGGGAACGCTGGGTCCCATACGGTTACGCTGTCTGCAGACTACCTCCCAGCTCAGCCAAAAGTCTCTGCCTCCTGGCACAAGGCGGCCAGGGCCAGGGCATCCAGGGGGTCCGTCCGGAGCATTCACGAGCATGGAGCATGGTGGGAGGCTGGAAGTGCTATCCTTCCCTCACTCAGGCAGTGATGCGTTCCCATAGTGGGACCAGGGCGGGCTGATTCCTCCTCCTCAAATCAGGCTATTAAAACTGCTGTGGGCTTTTACTGTGTGGTTCTGTGGCAAGCAGGTCATCTTTGTGCTTCCTATTCCTGCTACTTTATGCTCAAGAGAGTAGAGATACCCATTTCAGAAAACGTGGCACCCCTTCTCCTAGGCCAGCCAACCCTTCCTTCGAGTACAGTTGTTAGGAGGCCTCAGCACATGCACCAAAGGCTATTTATGTGACTGACAGAAAGCATCACTTACCTTGTACTTCCTACTTAACTATTTCTTCCTTAGGTGAAATGAAACTGTGTTTAAGGGAATGAGGTAGACTATAAATATAGGAGGTAAACTAAGAATAATGGTACCTGGGTTTAGAAGAAATATTCCCTCCTAAATTAAGGAAACAGTCATCTATTTCTATTTTTAAAGGCCTTTTAAAATAATTAAACAATGTTCCATTTAACTAAATGTCCTCATTGCCTACCGAAAGGACCCTATGGAAGAGAATTTTAATGTGTTTTCTTACTCCATACCAATCATACCTTCCTGGGATTAATATTCTTTGCAGGAAAGCATTGATTAGAACGGATCATTCTCCATAAAGCATCCCATCAGGTAATTAAATGCCTTAGGTGACACCTAGCCCCAAAGGATGGTGGGGCCCATTTTTCTATTCTTCTTTCAGGGTCTACCAGTAATAAAGCAAAAATAACTCATCAAATGGCTGTGGGATCTCCAGTGCTCAGGTTAAGTTGTGGTAAAGATTAAACGAGAAAAGACGTGAGAGAGTGCTTTGTGAAGCATGGTAGAGCCCTGCTTTCCAGCTCTGCCTCTGGTACAAGGTAACTGGCTACGTGGCCCGAGGCAAGCCACTGTCCTGTGGCAGTCCTTTCCTGGATAAAGCAAGGGAATTGCCCAGGTGACCACTAATGTCCCTTCCAGGACTGACAGGCTCTTGTTTTCTGAAATGCCATTGTCATCAATGTTAATAATAAGCCACTTGCATGGAAAAATGCCAGGACTGGCATTCCCTGAGCTGGGACATGTGAGTTGTTTCTGTAGCAATGGGACAGATGCAAATGGAGCAGACCCAGCAAATCCATCATTCCCATAGTTTAAACACATAAGCCAAAAAACAGGGATAAAGACCCAAGGATCTGTGAGCCAGTGTTATTCAGGAAACAAGCTGCTCACCCTCTGAACTGCTAAACCAGCAAAGTAAAATCTGCTTCCCATGTGGTAGGCAAGAATTCTATCACAAAACCTTCCATGTTGGATGCTAGGGTTTATAATCCTGAAATGGAATGTCACCTTCCCTCATCATAGCAGGCCAGGCTTCGATAGGTAGAATCTTGTATCTCAGTGACAGTGACAAAAAGGAGTCTGTTTTGTGGCCAGATGGACGTCCATTGTGAGTTTTTCACCATGCTATCACAAATAATTCTGTCCATCAAATGCTTCCTCCTGTTTCTTTTCACAGACAGGCGCAAATGTCTTACTGAGCACTGTCTGTATTGTGCCCGGAGAAGGGCAGAGCTGTGGTTTTATTTGTCCTTTGTCTCTCTAGCTGGCAGCAATGATTGTTACCCTCCAGCTCTCTTCAATGTCAGCCTTACCCTAAATCCTTAAGGAAAATCCCCGTAAGCTCTGAAACCAACTCAACAAAACAGCACAACACAGAAAAAGGGCTTCAGACTTTACGGGGAAAGGGACAGAGTTGCATACACACAAACACCTTCCCTTGCTGCCACCAGGTTCAAAGCAATTCTTCCATCTCTTCATTGCAAGAAAACACTCATCAGAGCTTGTTTAAGCTATAGGACCCTTTCTTCCAGGAATGCAAAGTCTAGAAAACACGCCTCGTCATAACACTTCATCAGCTTGTGATTTTGCCCATTTAGCTGCAGCTTGTGATTTTGCCCATTTAGCTGCAGCTTGTGATTTTGCCCATTTAGCTGATGTGCAGAACTACCCCTTCCTAAATCCCAAGAGAACGCGTTCCTCTCCCGGCTCCGTCAGTCAGATCACTGCAGTACAGACATTTCAGTAGCTGCAGGACAAGGTCTATATCCTAAAGTTCTGGGGGAGAGGGGTTATCAACGTTTATTGGGGTATCTCTCTTCTTCTGAGTTAAAGGCGACTTCTACACACTGTTTTTATAAAATGTATCATGGGCATTATTCTTTTTCAGTTTCCTCTTTCTCCTACTGCATATTTCTCAATATGAACTGTGCTTTGTGTCAACAGAGGATGGATTTCCCTGGAGAGTAATAAGGCGGGGGTTAGGGGGAAGGACTCTAGGTTCCCCTTAAGGGGCAACCTCTTTCTGAACCTCCCAGGCAGATTTGGCATTTGGAACTTAGCACCTTGGGGAAAATCAGTCCCACTCTTTGGAAAAGTGGACTAAAAGAGGAGTGACTGAGCTCATGTCATATAAAAAGTCACCTGTGAAAATCCCAATGTTTGCTTCTAACTGCTAGGCCATGCCACCTCCCTGCATGTCTACTTCCTTCATATTTTTATCTGCACAAGAGCTAAGAGATTTCAAAGGGGGCGATTACCTCTTTATCATCATGACGTCTTCGAATAAATTCTTCTGTGGATTCCAAGTAATCAGCTGGTATAAAATGCCTTGGTGATTCTGAATCTTCAAAACAATAAAGTAAAGTCAAAACAGGCAAAGATTTAGTGGGAAACCAGATTGGGAAAAGATTTCACCTTTCATCCATGACAAATATCAAGTCTGTACCATCGTTGTTTGGTCGTCAGTATTCAAATTCTGAAGGAAAAAAACCCAAATGCCCTCCCCCTCCCGAGTTTTGGATTTACCTGTGAACTAGTTTCATACAAAGAAAACTAATCAGAGGCAAAAGGTGAGCAAAGAGAGGACTGTCTTTGAAAAGTGTCCCTATTAAGAGGCGTGCAGGATCTTACAGGGACACACACTGTACACTCACACACACATACACAGGGCCACCGAGAGAGGCTGCCTCTCAAAAAACCTCAGTGTGAATTGGGATTGGTGTGAATTGCAAGGGGTTCAGGAGTTCAAATGAACACATTTCTCAGATGAGCTAAACGGCCAATTTTTCTTTCGAAACAGAGTTTGGTGGTTAGTCTAAATGACACGGGGGATCTGTTTTTAAAGAAGTGCAGCCACTATGAGCCATGATTAATTGCCAAGCAAAACAAACAGAAAACAAAGGACGGACCAGAAAATGAGCACCAAGGGCACACGGGAGGAGGGAACAAAGCAAGCAGAGTGGAGAGATGGGTGAGGTGAGACTGGGTAAATACACAGAAGGCCACCTCCGAGGGATGTTCCCAGTTCACTTTGGGGGTTGTTGTTCCTGTCCAGGCTGTGGTCTGAGTACGGCAGAGAGTTCCCATTACTAAAGGCCGTCAGGCAGACCTCTGGGGCCGCGGGTCTCTCCTGAGGGGGCTCTGAGATCCGGCTCAGCCTGGCCATGGTGTGCCGGGAAGACAGGCGTCTGGGAACCAAGGGCCTCCCCCCGGAGGGGGGCTCGTCCTGATGGGGCTGAGACCCCCTGGGGGGGTCTGGCTTCTGGCCCGAGAAGTCCCCGGGACAAAGCTGTCTGGGGGGATGCTGGAAGGGCTTTTTCAACCGAAAAGGGAGGGGGCTCATTAGGTAGATGTTCCTGAGGAGCGTGCCCTTGTCCCCCCTGGGATCTGGGCGCCAGTCGGGCCGCCGGGAGGTCTGCTGCTGCTCGTGCCTACGGATGGTGGTGAAGCGGGTGTAGGAGGCCGGGCAGGTGCCCTTGCACTTGTTGAGGCGGTGTTTGGGGAAGTCTCCGTGAATGCTACCGCTGCTGCCCTCTCGGCTGTCGCTGGAGATGTTTGAGCAGCGGTCCAGCTCGTCCGAGCAGGCGGAGAGCGGCTCGGAAGGCACGAGGCCCCTGAAGCCCAAGGTGGGGTCTGCCATCCGGCTACACACTGGGGAGGCGTAGATGCCCCGAGGGTTCAGCCCGCCCGCCTCCCTGGGCCGGAGCTTGGTTGACTCCAGGAGGGACTCAGCCGAGCGGGCAGAGGTTAGGCCGCTCCGGGCCAGCATGGGCGTGGGGGACTTGCTCAGCCGGCCGGACAGGTCCAGCGATGGCATGGACCGGGACCGCTGAATCAGCTGCTCGAAAGCTGTGATGCGGGAGGAGACGGTATGCTTGGGGACGTGCTCCGAGCCTTCCTGGCTGGGGCCCAGCTCGCCCCTGGCCAACGCCAGGCTGCTCCTCTCGAAGTGGGAGGCAAGATCCCGCACACTGGAGGAGGATACGGACCCCAGGAAGAGGCCGGCCCGGTTGATCTGGTGCATATCTCGGTAGAGCATGGTGAACTGCGGGCCAGCCTTCCTCAAGAGTGGGCAGGGCCTCCTGGCGCTGGTGCTGTACTCCTGCAGGCTCATGGTGCTGCTCGACCTGCCGTCGTAGTCCCGCCGGGAGCGCACGAGCAGGTTCTCCGCGCTGCCCCCCACTTGCGGGGGGAGGCCTCTTTTGGAATCATTCAAAGGAACCGAGACACAAAGGTTCTCACAGCTCTGAGCCTTTTCCGATGGCAACAGGACGCTTTTCTGTTCTTGCAAAAGAGCGCTGGGAGCAGAGAGCCTGGGTTTGAATTTGGAGGGGAGGATTTCCGAAATGCAGGCTTTCGCAGCGGACAAGGGTTTCTTGTGCTTACACCCGGGGCCTAACGCACTGCTAGTGTGAACCGATCGGCTATGAACTGAAGATGAAGAAATCATGTGAGCATTCCCACCTTTATGATCCACTGGAAAGCATGCAGAATAAAATAAACAGACCCATTAGGTTAAAGCTGAAAGCTGCTACAAAAAAAAAAAAATAATAAAGGAGAGGTAACATGCTCATTTGTCATAAGGGTTTTTTTGTTTTTTGTTTTAATTTCCAGTCGATGTCTGGAAGCAAAATAATCTGTGCTGCAAAGCAGGTGCAAAGATGCAAAGAAAAATGGCCGCCCTGCTAGAGTTAGGGAAAGCTCAGCTAATTTCTAAGAAAAGGGGATCAGAACAAAGAAGAGAGAGATGCTTCAGGGACAGCAAGGTTGGGGTTCAAAGGAAGGGAAACTATTCACACCAGAAAGAAAAATGGCCGCCCTGCTAGAGTTAGGTAAGCTCCGCTAATTTCTAAGAAAAGGGGATCAGAACAAAGAAGAGAGAGATGCTTCAGGGAGAGCAAGGTTGAGGTTCAAAGGAAGGGAAACTATTCACACCAGAAAGAAAAATGGCCGCCCCGCTAGAGTTAGGAAAAGCTCAGCTAATTTCTAAGAAAAGGGGATCAGAACAAAGGAGAGAGAGATGCTTCAGGGAGAGCAAGGTTGGGGTTCAAAGGAAGGGAAACTATTCATACCAGAAATAAAATGGCCGCCCCGCTAGAGTTAGGAAAAGCTCAGCTAATTTCTAAGAAAAGGGGATCAGAACAAAGAAGAGAGAGATGCTTCAGGGAGAGCAAGGTTGGGGTTCAAAGGAAGGGAAACTATTCATACCAGAAATAAAATGGCCGCCCCGCTAGAGTTAGGAAAAGCTCAGCTAATTTCTAAGAAAAGGGGATCAGAACAAAGAAGAGAGAGATGCTTCAGGGAGAGCAAGGTTGGGGTTCAAAGGAAGGGAAACTATTCATACCAGAAAGAAAAATGGCCGCCCTGCTAGAGTTAGGAAAAGCTCAGCTAATTTCTAAGAAAAGGGGATCAGAACAAAGCAGAGAGAGATGCTTCAGGGACAGCAAGGTCGGGGTTCAAAGGAAGGGAAACTATTCACACCAGAAAGAAAAATGGCCGCCCCGCTAGAGTTAGGAAAAGCTCCGCTAATTTCTAAGAAAAGGGGATCAGAACAAAGCAGAGAGAGATGCTTCAGGGAGAGCAAGGTCGGGGTTCAAAGGAAGGGAAACTATTCACACCAGAAAGAAAAATGGCCGCCCTGCTAGAGTTAGGAAAAGCTCCGCTAATTTCTAAGAAAAGGGGATCAGAACAAAGGAGAGAGAGAAATGCTTCAGGGAAAGCAAGGTTGGGGTTCAAAGGAAGGGAAACTATTCACACCAGAAAGAAAAATGGCCGCCCTGCTAGAATTAGGAAAAGCTCAGCTAATTTCTAAGAAAAGGGGATCAGAACAAAGGAGAGAGAGATGCTTCAGGGACAGCAAGGTTGGGGTTCAAAGGAAGGGAAACTATTCATACCAGAAAGAAAAATGGCCGCCCTGCTAGAGTTAGGAAAAGCTCAGCTAATTTCTAAGAAAAGGGGATCAGAACAAAGAAGAGAGAGATGCTTCAGGGAGAGCAAGGTTGGGGTTCAAAGGAAGGGAAACTATTCATACCAGAAAGAAAAATGGCCGGTGAGAAACTAGGGGAGGGGACTACAAGGGCTCCGTGGCCTGGAAATGGATCTCAACAAGTCAAAACTTATCCCAGTCGCTGGAGGTTCACCCTCGCTGCCATCACCCCAGGAATGGGTGTGGACGGGCGAGAGATATCCTGAATACCATGTGGATGAGCGAAGAGGCCTGCAGGCTTCGCCCAGTTACCTTTAGTTGAGGCCGAGCTGGATGGCCTCTTGAGCCCACTCAGGCCCTGGAGAGGGATATCTCCTCCTTCCAAGACGCTTTTATAAATCTGCCTCTCATTCTCCAAGCTGGTAAGATCCCCGGGAGCCCCATCTGATTCCCTCTTCACCGCGTGGAAGTTGGAAGAATATACACTGAGAACAATGAAATTTTAAAAGAGAGAAGAAAAAAAAAGAGAGAGTAGGATTTAGTATTTTTAACAGTTTTCTAAAAAGCACATTACCAGCTGAGGACAAGGAAACACACTTCCTGGCATCCCAGCCAAGCACCGTCCCTTCTAAAGGGCATTCTTAGTTAGACACAGAGCTCTACAGACAAGGCAGGCCCACAGGTGCCCCGGAATGCTCAGGAATCGTGTCTAAATAGCAAGGTGCTCTATTTGAGATGACTGCCTTTTGTTTTAAAAGAATAACTCTGAGAAACACTGCCTGGGGATGGAGGGCAGAAGGGGGGCCAGACAGGAGGAGGTTCTGGGGACCCAGTCATTGCACACAAGATGGGACAGTCGAGGACATGAGTGGAGCTTCTGACATGTTGCCAGCCAGAGTTGGCCATTTCAAGTCCACCACCTGGATTATTTTTCTGGGTTGTTCCTCACAAATGCTTTGACCAATGGAGCATTAAAATCAACAATGAGGGGCTTCCCTGGTGGCACAGTGGTTGAGAGTCCACCTGCTGATGCAGGGGACACGGGTTCGTGCCCCGGTCCAGGGAGATCCCACATGCCGCGGAGCGGCTGGGCCCGTGAGCCATGGCCGCTGAGCCTGCGTGTCCGGAGCCTGTGCTCCGCGACGGGAGAGGCCACAGCAGTGAGAGG